CAACAGGAAACTGCTCTGATTTAATGCCATTTGGAAACAATTAATAAAAACAGATTCTTGGGTTCGAGGTGAACGACAGTAATGTTTTTGCCCTGATTATTCTTATTTAAAGTTGTGTTTTCAAGTTTCCTGTTACTGTTTTAATAATCAACTGTATAAATGTCATACGTTTACGAAATAAACGTATGAAGAGGAAAATAGGATGTATAAATGTCAAAATCAACATTACTAAGAAATAAACGTATGAAGAGGAAAATAGGACGGGACTGTACTTCTTGATTGCACCATGCTGTTCTGTAGTATTTGCTCCACCCTGATGGCCATGTTGGACACATTCTGGGCGATAGCTTGGATCCTCTCCACCAGGCCGGCTGGTTGAAACCTAGGCAACCACGGGCAAACACAGAAAAAAAGAAAATTCAGAGGGAAATTAAATTTAGAATAAAAGGTAGTGTACACAATGTTAAGACATTCCTCCTTTAGCCTTTAGTGAAAATATTCCTGAAGACATTCACGTGTGTCTTTTTTCAATTCCTGCGAGTATATCAGTGTTGCGTTCAACTAAACAGGCATAGATTTCACACTGAATGTGAGTGAAATTTTAAGCAAACTGAAACTAGACGATCAAATTTCATGACATATTCTGTTTGTGTCAAATATGTGCTCCGAATCAAAAAACACAGATTTTATTGAAAGCTCTTCTTTCGTAACCTTCTATTACTTTTTATACACTTACACCACAACAGATGTGAAACTGGTCCAGAGATTGAAAATTGGAAGACACTTGGTTGGAGCATGAAATAGAAAAAGCCAAATGTTGTCAACAACACCTGCAATATGTGCTGCTCCTGTTATTATTTGTGTAATTGAGCACATTTTTAAATGTTATTTCGTGTGTGTGCACTGGTGGCCATGGCAGACTGCCTGCCTAACCAGCCAGTAACAGCACTGACATGGAAATGAACTAAAATACTATTAGGCAAGGACGGTGCATTAGTTGCTTCGTAAACTGTAAACAGCAAAGTGAGACATAATTCAGATGTCAAAGGCGGTCTCCGTGCTCCATTACCAGCTTTGTAAGTGTCATATGTCAGTAGAGCTGAGTGTGTGTCGGTGTCTTGTTTAGATTTGTACACAGGGGAAGCCGTTGGCTGTGTGTCTGTGTGTCTGTGTAAGTCTCCTAATGCAGGTAGGATCGTTACTAACAGACGAACAGTTCACAGTGTTGACAGAGAATCATATGAATCAATTATTTCTGTGAAGGTACAAAGACGAGACGAGATTATTCTCTAATTAAACTGCAGTTTCTCAGAACCAGGAGCTGCAGTTCAGTGCATGAAAGAAAGGTTTTTCAGGTCAATAAAAACCTTCACAAACTAACACACCGCTCACTCACAGGCAGTTTGAAAACACTATTGGCACAAATGAACCTTCAGAGAATAAGAAATAAAAATAGAATGTAGTAACAAAGCCCTCAAAGATCAAAGATCCACAATTTTTAAAAAAAAGTTTGTCAAAATGTCAGTATGTCAACATGTCAGAACTTATTAGGTTGTCACTCTACTCTTTTGCTCCAAAACAAAAAGAGAAATGTGTGTCGCTCTTAAACAATTGATCTTGATCCTTAACCATAACCCATAAATCAGACAAAAAGAAAAAAAAAAAATATTTTTTCAAATTGTCAGTGACTGTCTTACAAGTTGCCTAATCTCTATAATATCCCTGATATTCAATGAGAATAAATGTTGTCAAAATGTACTATTTCAACCTCTAACCTTCTAGATGTAGATGCTTGAAACAGTAACACTGTAACAGTGTAATACATTTGACCTGAAGGACCAAACTACCTCGACTGAGACAGATTCGGGCCGTTAGCCTCACCTTGAGGGTCTGCTACCCTAAATATGAACAGTCAGTGAAGGTTGGCGAGAGCAAGTCACAGCTNNNNTGGTGAAACAATAAAAGAGAGAGTTATGCCTGCGGAGATAAAAAAAAAAAATACAGCGTGAAAATCAAGAAGCAGCAACAAAAGCTGTGGGAGAGCTGAGACTCAAACTGAAGGGAAAATCAAGTATCAACAGTTACAGACCAGTCTCAGTATGTTGCTCAAAATGATGCTTCTAAAATAAGAGCAGGTTTGTACAGTAGGAGTAAAGAAAAACCACTGTGGGAAAATCCTCTGACAGAAAAACACAAGATACTGGTTGAAAAATAAATGTAGTGTAACTGGAAAGAGATTTACTGAACACAAAGAAACACACGGACGTTCCTTCTTTTTTCACCCCAGATTTTCCTCTTCTCTTTATTAAACGACAGCATCCTCTAAGGCAGTGATTCCCAACCACTGTGCCAATTAATTGAAAACTATAATTTATTTATTGCAAATATTTTTTTTTGTTTGTCAATGCGTGACAGGCAGAACAATGAAATACTCTTCACTAGTTGGCAGCAGACGGCTATAAAAACTAAAACAAACAGAGCTGTTTATATTCTTTGAGTCTTTCTTCAATTCCTGCCAGTATATTAACGTTGCCTTTAACTAAACAGGTTGAAATTCAATTGTCAATTGTAAGGTTATTTAAACTAGAAGGTTATTACATTTACAGTTTGGTGGTGTGTCGCGGGGTTTTTCCTGATGATATATATATATACATGTGCCTTGGATTAAAAAAGGTTGGGAAAACGCTGCTCTAAGGAAAGTAACCAGTCAGGAAGCATGTCATCAAACGGAGCTGTGAAACACCAGAGGTGATGATCACAGACATGCTTTGAGCTTAATGTGAAGTCACATTTGACTAATGCCCCTTTAATGTGACATCCAACCCATTAATCCTTTCCGTTAATCCCGCTGCATATTTTCCAGGTACGATTAAAAACAAACAAACATCCGTTCATGTGTGAGGGCTAGTGTTTGAATCTGAAAATGCTCATTGTCAAACCAGCATATGCAGTTTGGAGCAGCGTGTGCAGAGTTATTCAGGTGATATTAGCTTAGCGAGCAGAGGTTTTCAAACCTGAAAATAAATAAATAAAAATAAATGTGTCTTTTTTTTTTACCCCTTTCAGCAAAGCTACAGTTTGATGGGTGATACAGTGCCGGGGAAGAGCCTTCTCCTGGGATAAGAGGCTGTTACTGACAGCACATAGATGGGCATCGGGAGAGGGAAAAAATAGGTAAAGCCCAGGCACAGTGGTGATCTGTAGAGATTGTACGCCTTAGGGGAGATTGACCCATCCTCATCCTCTCATCTGCTGCACACAACAAATGGAGTGAAACAGCTCTGCATCATTTTTCTTTTGTCCCCCCCACCCGTCCCACCTCCCCCCGCTCATTTTCTCGTTCATTTCAATAGATTTACTCGTTCGCTTCTTGCTTCACTCCATACCTCGTTATTTTCTTCTTCTTTTTCCCCCCCATTTTTTGGTTTTCCACTCGTTAGAGTGGATACCCTTTGGCTGCATCGCAGACTGGAGCCTGAAACGTGAAGTTCCACTCGCCAGTACATGAGAGTGTGTCAGCACCAATGAATCACAACAAGATGACGAGACTTTCATACAGTGGATGTCTGCGTGTGTGTGTGTGTGAATTTTTCTGCACACATCACTGCCCTGGATTTGGGAACTTCCTAATAGGCTGTTTTCCTTGTTTTTGTTTCTCTCTCCCACAGCGGCCATGCCAGTAACACCAGCCCACTCCCTTGTGCACTTGAGTGTCATGCAGGAGAAATAGTCATGAGAAAATATTCTAAATAGTCACGAGGCACGAGAAATGAATGCAGGAAAAAGGAAGATAGGAATGTGAAAAGACAAAAATATGTGCAGGGAATGAGAGGAAGAATGAGCAACGAAATGAAAATCACTGGACTGAGGAGAGACCACAGTCTGACTATTGCTGTTGTGCACGCACGCACCTCTCTCTGTGTGTATATGTACGTGCACATTTTTGATAAATATCCACCACAATTTACTAAAGTCAATACAACTGTCATTTTTCTTCCTAAACAAAAAAAAAAACAAAACTTCAGCCATTATTGTCACTTCTCTCAGGGCACATTTGGTTCTTACACAACACTCAGAAAAACTAAATTGATTTTCAGGCAATGGATCCTGCTTTCAATTGCACATTCACAATGTGCTCTTGTCCAAGCACTCTTCAGAAAGAATTTATCTCAAAAGATAAAAAGCAAGATGGGACGAGTGGAGAAGAGGTTCACGTGACAAGATCTGTGTTCTTTTTTTCTTCCTTACAAAATGATGACTACACAGGGTTATGTGAAGAATGGAAAATATTTTTTATACAAATATGATTATGTTGTACACACTGTCATATTCAAAAAATAAAACTGATTTAAGGATCGTCAAACAGCTACAGTATATATACGTATCTGTACATATATGTGTATTGTTAAACAGCTACAGTATATACTGTATAAAAATATATACAGTACATACATATACGTATCTGTACATATATGTGTATATATACAAGAATATAGTACATATTACTATTATATACTACAGTATATACATCGATAGTCCCACAATATTGATCTTTTGTGTTTGACCCCAATTACACCCCCCTGTAAAGCCCAAGTGACTCTTTAAGGTAATAACTGAGGACAGATTTCAGTTACACTTCACCATTCACCTTGCAGCGTAGTTAGAGTCCCTAACAATGGACAGAAATACGTCCTGGGCCAAGAGACGAACTGCTTTTTCCACATTAAACAGCCCATTACCTGACATTGATTGCTGTTAACACAAACGCCAGGCCATATTAATCGTTTTATCCCTGCGCTCCATGGCTCCAGCACAGATCTGGACCTAAGCATTTATCTGGGATCATTTAACCAAGTTGGAGGAAGCGAGGGGCTTTCTGTCAGACCGCACTTGGATCATCCCCGCTGCACCCAGTGAGTCATGGTTTTTGCGAAAATGAAATGAGCGAGAATAAAAGGGCCGACGCACAAAAAGAGACCAATTGGATGTCCTTGTGCTAAGGAGGCAAAAGAAGAAGAGCGGACGGATAAAAGCTGTCACTTTGCTGTAGTAAATGTTATAGGTAATACAGCACGGTGAGAACTATTTGATTTCCAGTGTATAGCACTACAGAAGGAATTTGCAGGAATAAAGTGGGACATATGATACTACATTTATGTAAAGTAATATGTCCTTGATGTCTAAATTAAATGTGAGCAACATGCTTTAGTCCCAAAAACCAAAAGAACTGGGTGAAGTTGGATTCATTAGTTTTCTGTGCCTTCTCTTTCACCAGGTCATGAGCCACAGTGTGCTCCGCCCACCTCTTCTGCGACCCTATGTCAGCCTCACATTACCATGGCAACAGTTAACCAGCCATAGGGAAATGACTGCTGGGAAATCTGAGGTTCTGACAGGCGCTTCTTTTTTTTGTGTGCCAATTTGCAATAAGATACCGTATGCCATTATGACAGGTATCTTATTGCAAATTGGCACACGTTAATGTTGGTCATCATGGTGGTACTCAGAGAGCTCTATGTTTTCACAGGTGGTACAGAGTATAAAAGTTTGAGAACCACTCACACACAGTATACTAAGTCATGCCATAGTTACGTTTATGAAAGTGTGTGTTTGGAGAACAAAAACACAAAACCACCCAAGCTTCTCTCATGCCGAGCTGTGGTCAACACGCCAGCCTACCTGTTGATTGCAGAGCTGAGCTCATCCAGACGCCGTGCATCAGTGGTGGAGGTGTTGTCCAGTTTGGACAGGCTGTCCATCCTCTTTAGAATCACCTCCAGCATGTCACTGATCTTCCTCAGCACACCTCGAGACTCGGCGGCTCCCAGCACTGAGCAGAGACAGAGACATGAACAGAGATAAATGACGATCTGGAGAGCAGAGTACAAGACAGCTCTGGAGAACAGCATGGGCATTAATCACACAGCCTGGATGTTTTTCCTGATCACTGTATTGTAAATGAGTTGGGCTGTTGTTGTAAATGGAACAACGGTCTTGTCTCATTGTGTGAATTCTGTGGGCATGGAAAACAGGAAATACTACATTTAAATATCTCATTGTGTGAATGCAGTCTCATTGTGTGAATGCAGTGTGGAATTCCGTGGGCATTGAAAACAGGAAATACTACATTTAAATATGACATGCACTTTTCCTCTGGAATCTATGTGTATTCGGGCTGTCAATCAATTACATTTTTTATTATTTTATCAAGGTTAACCAACTGGTAGCTGTGAATTAATCATGATTGATTATAAATAACGATTATCCAACTGGTAGCCATGAATTAATCATGATTGATTATAAATAATCAAGTTACTCTGGAGCGACTTATAGCCCAGAAAATACGGTATTTTTCAGCATGAAAATTGTAAACTATTTTAATATTATTGACTGAAACTGAAACAAAACCAGCTGCGTAGATTGTTTGTTTAGATTTCTGATGGTTTGTGAACACCACCTCTTAGAAGCTACAGCCTCATCAAGTTGAATTCATCACATCTTTTTGTATTTCTGTCCTGACGTATCCCACAATATAAAATGTACAGACTAATGATCTCGTCAGTGCTGCCACAGCCAGGCCAGATCTAAAGCAGTGAAAGAGTTCTGTTAAATTACTGGGACGGACATGTTTACTTTTCACCTAGCAGAGCATATCCTGGGTTTGTGGCAGGAGTTTTTGGATTGCAGTCAGTTTTATTCAGCCAGAACAAATGGGTTGTGTAGTTAGTGTTAGTGAAACATCCGAGTCATTAAAAATAAAGCACTTTTTACTAACACTGCCGCCTTCATCTGCTGTTAAAACCACTGAGTTTATCACCGACTTGTAAAAGTAAAGGGACTTTACAGGAGGGTTTTTGTTGAAACTGTGGGTCTTGTAAGGAGAAGAGATGACACTAAAAAAACACATCAGTGTGACTGTAAAGGTTTTATATAGATAGATGCACTGATCTTTTACGTTAGATGTAATTTTAATTTTAAAGGGAAAGCATTTAGGAGTACAAACAATTTAAAAATAAATAATACACTGGCACATGTAGCCACACAGCAACTAAGTACGGTACAGTGGAGGGGCGCGGAGGTCAGAGTGTATCCTTCCTGTCTCCCATCAGAGCACTCGCTGAGGCTCACACTGACACTGCAAACACCTGGATTATGCTGTTCAGCCACTCTGTCAAACCCCATGTCTGCTGCTTGACAGGCAATTACAGCCAATGGGCCCCATGCCTAACAGCAACCAAGCAAGGTCATTGTCTGCCTTGATCTCCTCGGCAGCAGATGGAAATCTAGGTTCAGTGAGTTATCTCCGCAGGGACAGATGTATTCGTCTAAGACCGAGTGTCTTATCCTTTCGCGTGTGACAAATCGCCTAATCAGGATGTTTCTTTGGGTTCTAGCGTTCATGGAAAGGACAAATGGAGAGTGTTGGGTTTTAAAAGTTTAGCAGCTCTAACGGGAGCCGAGGGGATTTAGACTGTGAAGGTGAGACTAAAAAATCCTTGGTACATTTTTAGTAATACAACTCACACTTTATCAGAAATTCATTTACCGTCTAAAGACAAAAACAGAATGTCATGGTAAAAATGAGTAAGAAACAAACAAATACTATAAAACAACAACAACATTGACAACGAGTCAAAATGTTGTAAGACAAAGTACAAAAACTTAAATATATTTCATTATTAACAATCAAATATCCTCCATTAAAAGAACTTGAAAGCATGATAGTGTAAGTGGAGAATTCCTGAGTTGTTTGTTTTGGGACTAAAGACTAACTCTCGTTTCTAATAAAAAAATGAAAGTTTTACAGTTTCAGATAATATTTAATGTTTGCCATGACTTCAAAGTTATTTATTTTTGAAGGATAAAAAAATCAGAAAAAAAAAGAATCAGCCAATCAGAAGCAGACTAGATAAGGACACATCGTAGCAACATCAGGTGACATTGGTTTGCCTTTAAATACGAAAACATCAGGTGACATTGGTTTGCCTTTAAAACGATGCCAAACGTATGTGTGTCTGAAAACTACAGCATTAAGTCCGACTTATAACATATGAGGTAAACACATTCATTGTTCTGTGTAATTCCTGCAGAGATCTCACCAACCACAAAAAATCAAATCTGCCAAAGGCATCATGGTTAAAATGCCAATTTTGATTATTGTGTAATTTAATTACATTTTTTATGTCAAAGTTCCACAGCTGCAAATATGCTGCGAAGGGGATTTAAATCCCACGATTAATTACTGTAAATGTAGAGCGTAGTATCTCATCCAAACTGCTTAAAATACTAACCGTGTGACACTGGCCTTCAGTGAGCTAACTTTGTTTGTAGAAGATAAATGTCCTCTTAAGATTCAGTGATGACAGTGAGTTAACGGGATCAACCTGCTGGGCTGCTATTTCATGCCGTGTTTGGCCTTCTCTACTGTCATGGGATGGAATTAAGTCAGCACACAGACAGACACACACACACACACACACACACACACACACTGGGCCCAGCTTCAGCCAACACACTGCCCTGAATATTTAATGTCACAGCACATCACGTCTCCCTCGAGACTCGGAATCCATAAAGCTTCCCAAAAATAAAAAATGGCTAGTGGTTCTCACAAATAAAATTAAATGTGAAAGAAAAACAAATTGTGCATAAACATACCAAATGTTCCTTTATCACAGCAGTAAAGACTATAAAGGAAGGGCAACGGCAGGAAAAAAAGGACGTACTGTAAATAAGACATTAGTAGTAATACGTGCACTGTCAAATACTTAGACGCTAAAGCACAAACGCTTCCTCTATTCACAGTTACTGGGCCTCAGGGAAACCAGCTGTCTCTGTGTGTGAGTGTTTGCCAGTAGGCTTGGTGAAACAGTGACAGCAGTCACCGAACGGGCAGAAAGGGAAATCTGTGGGTGTAATTGATTTGTTTAACTACATGGATAAATCAAGCCAAAGGGACTGATTGAAAATGCACAAAATACATTTTTATTTAAACGCTGTAAGAGCAAAGTCACAACAGCAGTGAAATAATTAAGTGTTAATCAGAGAAAAGGGTTTTTAATGATTTGACAATAGCTAGAAATTTTAACAAATATTAAGTGCAAGAACTACCGACAGGGGAAATATTAAAGGTTGTGAATTATTCTACTGAGCC